TGCTGTAGAGCTGAACTTAATCACGTATTGTGCCTCCCTTGGACACACGAGGTCCTGGTGAGAACTGGGGTGGCACTGGGTCTGGGGTCTGAGAGCAGCCTGATGCAAAAAGGGCCCCACAGACATCACTGATGTGCTTTGGAAGTGCACTCTGGCTCAGGTGGACAAAACATAGGCTCTCAGCTGCCTGGCGCTCAGCTGTCCTCTCCACACCCAGGGGCAGAGTGTGTGGGGACCTGCCCAGCACAGGATCCTGACAAATGTAAAATGACTTTGGGGCAGCGATCATAGAGCCAACTATACTGGCCCAAGATAGCCCCCGATGACTGGACAGGCCAGGCAGGTGAGCTGTAGGTGCCCTGCCCACATGCAAGGGGCTGTGGACGGTGAGGTCCCTTTTCTGACTGTGCATAGATTGGGGGGAAACCCCCTTGTCAGGCCTGGCACCTTCACACCTCTGCTCCCTTGAACTACTCTCAGGACCACTGTGGAAGAGCATGTCTCCTCACCAGTGGGGAACACTGGAAAAGACACCTGCCTTACCTGGCACAGTCAAGGGGTAGGGCGGATGACCACCGTGGCTCCCAGAAAAGGGAAGAGTTTATAGTCCCAGGTTTCACTGCCAAGGGTAGAGGGTCTTGGCACTTGTGTGCCTTCCACAGGTCCTGTGACCTCAAAGTGGGCTGGGGGCTGGCCAGGAATGGGGGTAATGACAAAGACATACTGCTGGGAGTAGACAGGTGGGGAGGGTCTAGAGGGCCTGGGGTGAGGCAGGAGGCCCAGGGATCCCTGGGTGGCTTACTCCTCAGGCCCCTGTTAGGGGTGGGAATGTCTGTCCATACCCCACATCATGCTCCCCACACCTACCCTGCCCCCAAAGTCAGCAGGCTTGGGAGCAGGTGTCCATCTGGCCTCTGATCTGGCCAGTCTGGCTGACAGGCACAGTCACAGGGGACCACACAAGGGTTGTAGGGAAGAGGAGTCTGGCAAAAGCCATCTAGGGACAGGGTGAGGAGTGGCCTCTGTTCCCTCCGCCCAGCTCCAGCCCCTCTGTGGGAAGCGCCTGCCTAAGCAGGAGCTCTTCTGCAACTCTTCTGAGAAGGGAATGTGTGCAGCCTGGAGGGCTTTCCCCACATGCCCTGATTTTGATGTAGAATCACACCTGGCCAGGTGGACCAGACATGGGCTTCCGGCCTGCCAGGGCTTAGCTGCCCTCTTGGGCAGAGTGTATGGGGACCTGGCCAGTGCAGGTTCCTGACTCTGACCTATGTGAAGTGACAGAACACTGGAGGAAGCACTTTCTTTGTCTCTGGCCTTTGGTTTTTGTCTCTAATGTGGAGGAGTCTCTTTTATTTCCGGGGGGAGAGGGGTCATCTGTGTAGCCAGATCTCTCTGAGTTTGCATCCTCTAAGTGTTGATCTTATTAGAACAGACCTGGATGGTCACAGGGAGCCTGGGCTCTGTCCAAGAGCAAACTGCACCCTACCTGTGTTCTGGGGGTCCAGTGCTTAGGCTGGTTTCAACTGAGAGTAGGAGGCCCCCAAAGCCTGTAGTCAGATCTCAGTCAGCTCTGCCCTTTCCCCGGTCCTCATATTCCTGCAGAACCTTGATCCATCACTTCTCACACTGAACTTCCCTGAATCCTCCAGGACAGGTAAGGAACAACTGAATTTTTGAGTCCCTGTCCTGGGAGCAACACTGGGTCCTGAGGAAAGCCTGAGAAGAGTGGTTAGGCTCCTGTTCCCTTCTTGGGTGTGGAAATGGGCTGGTGGCCAACGTGGAGTACATGGGACAGGGCTGAGACTCAAACCCAGATTCACTTCTGAAAATCTTAGTGGCCTCTGCACAGGTTAGAGCTGAGGGGTGCGTGTGCCTGTTCACGAGTGTGCTTTGTGTATACCTGTGTGTACCTGCATGCACCTGTGTCTGTGGCACACCTGTATATGCACCTGCCTGTGTCTGTGAGCATACCTACATATACCTGTGTGCTTTGGTACATACCTGTGTGTGCCTGAATATGTGCAAAGGTGTGTTTGTGAGTGTGTACCTGTGTATATATCTGTGAATGCTTGTGTAGGCACCTCTGTGCACTTGTGTGTACTGTGTGCACCTGATCATGCTTGCACAAGCCTGTGCTGATAGCTGGGCAATAAGACCGGCAAGGTCTTTTTTGGCAGGTGTCAGTGTGGAGGGGCAGTGTGTCCTTGGTTTCATGGTTATCACCGTTCCAAAGTTGCACTTGTCTACTTGCTTCTGTGGAAAGCGTGGGGTTCTCTGAGCTCAGGGCTTGGTATCTGTCTTTCTTCTGTGCAGGGCATGTGTGTCTGGGGACATCTGTGTGTGCTGGGCTGGGGCTGCTTGGGAAGCATGTCTTTGATTATGTGACAGGAAGGAGACTGCCACAGGAAGGAGACTGTGCGAGAGTCTGTACTGGGGATGTGTGCATGTGGTGTGGAAGTGGGTGTAGTTCTAATGTGGGTACCCCAGTGCTCTGTGAGAAAATCTAAATTGGGGTGCAAGATGTGTGGTTCTGCACTTGTCTTAGGTTTGGAGGGGAGTGTGTGTGCTATGGGTGAGAATCAGGGGAGCTTGTCTGAGGAATCTCAAAAGGGTAGGAAGCTCTCCTGCACCAGGCTTGACAGCTTTGGGGTCCCCCAAACCCCATGGTCCCTCAGCAGCAGAGTGTTGGGTGTCTCCATGTGTCTGTGTGGCAAGAACCCCAGCTTGTTGCTGTGAACACAGCTGGGCTTCCTATCACATAAGGTGACACTTGTTCCATCTTTCAGAGGGAGAAGTGACCGGAAGAGGCAGGTGTTTGCCTCCAGTCCCGCGGCTGATGTGCAGCGTATCTCAGCAGAAGCTGATTGTTGTGGGCCACAGTGGCCTTGTCTAGGAGATAGGGGCCCAAGCTTCACTTTTCCTGGCTCAGCTCCCGGGCAGGCAGCAGTATTGGAGATCGGGCTGACAATGGAAGGGGTTTTGTACACCAGGTCTGCTTGCTAAGATATTCCCAGACCTTCCTGCTGGCTGGTATCCCTGATGGCTTCCAGTGCATAGAGTGAGCTCAACCACTGGGCATGCTCAGGGACAGGCACTTGCAGAGTCCTTGGGCCCCTTCTGCTTTGTAGGGCTAGCAACAGGGAGGTTTGTAGGGAGATCATCTGTGGGCCTTCTTGTCCTTGGAGCACCCCTCCTATGAACGGCTGAGGCAAGGACAGGGTTTGATGTGGACTGTCCCTGTAGTCCAGTGGGGTACTGCCAGGACATCTCACGAGAGCAGAAGCTTGGTGAGAGGGAGTGTTCTGTCCAAGGTAACAGACTGAGGGAAGGGTAGATTGGACCTCAGCCACTGCCCCAGAGTCCACACTCAGCTCTGCTGCCTCTTTGAACTCTTCAGGGGAAACTGGATATTCCTACCAACCTCTCTCAGACACTGAGCAGCACACTGGGCTGGGGTAGGGTCGCGAAGGGTCTGAGACAGCAGAGGGGGAGTCTGGACAGCCCACGGGCAGGAGAAGGGCTGGGAGTACCAAGGGAGGAGAGCAGCCCCTACGAAGAGCCCACTCTGCAGGATTCCTGGCCCAAGGGCCAAATTGAAAGAGAAAGGACAGAGCAGTTGCCCCAAGGTCATCTGCTTGCTGCCCAGCATCCAAGGCTCCTATGGCCCTTATGGCTTGGAGCAGGATGGGCTGTTCCACCACAGCCCCTTGTTCCAGGCTTAGCTCTGAGGCACAGGGCAGGCTTGGCCCTGGGTCTGGGGATGCCCTTTCAGGGTTTCTGAGGATTCTGTGCTGGTCACGGGTCACTTCAGTTGAGGGCTAGAGGGAAGGTGAGGGCAGAGAAAAGTCTGGCAGTTCACTCTCAGCCACCCCTCCCCACATACTTTCTATGCAAAATTGTCCAGCAAATTTAACAAACTGGCTGGGCTTTCTTTGAGAAAAGTGGGAGTGTATATGGAGGCCATTTCCCAGATACTAACCACATAGATAAGCAGGCAAAGACCCACCCATCCCATTCCAAAAGACTAGGTTTATTTTATTTAATTTTAAATTTTTTTGTGTTTGCTCAGGTTGTGAATGCTGTGGGACTTGTCCTTACTAGGCAGGCAATCTACCACCTCAGCCACACCTCTAGCCTGAGTTGGTTTATTTTTAAATGGGTACAGAGGTCCTGGCTGATCTCAGCCACATTTTGGGAGGCCCGGCCCAGCCTCAGAAGCACTTGGCCAGCAAACCCTAGGCCAGCAGCAGGAAAGATTCCATCTCTGCAGTGAGGCAGGAAGAGAACTGACTTCTGCACCCCCCTCCCCCACCCCACCATCTGCCCATAAGGCAGTACCAACTTTTGCAGAGCCTCTGGGTGGGTGGCACTGCGAGGGTCTGCTGAATCCCTTCTAGTCCTTGGGGACTTCTGCAGAAACAACCATTGGCTGTGTTCAGACAGGATTCTGGCCAGGCTCTGGCCCTTCCCACCTTGCCTGCTGACCCCACAACCCCTCTGCTGACCCCAGAACTACCATCTTGCCACCTTTCCTGAGGCCTAGCCAGTAGTTCTGGGATACACTGAGCCCCATCTCCTAACTCTGATGTCCCCAGTCCACCCACCCCTGGGCTTGGGGTGATGTACATAGCCATGGCCCCTCTCCAACCCAGGGTATGTGAGCAGGGCTTGAGGCAGGACCAAAGGGTGGGAGGAGGAGGAGGAGGAACCCACACTGTCTTCTGAAGCATTGTTTGCAAGTTCTTATAGCTAGGTCTCTAAAACATCCCCTTCAGGACACATAACATTTGTCTGATGTCTGCCAGGCTGGACTGTTAGCCTCCAGTGACCAGCAGAAAACAGGCCCGGATGTCACGGCTGAGCCATGGGCAGTCTGGGGGGTGCGACAAGGGTGAGGCCTCCCCTCTTGCCTAATGGGGGCTTGGCTCAGCCCCTGAGCCAAGGCTCAGCCCCTGCTGCCCATCCCTATCTCTCTTTCCTCAGGTGGAGCCATGGGCACCATGTCTGTCAAGGGCAACCTCTCAGAGGTGACCGAGTTCATCTTGGTGGGCTTTCCGGGTTCCTTGGGGCTCCACCTGTGCCTGCTGATGCTGTTCCTGCTGTCCTACATGATGACTGTCACAGAGAACCTGGTCATCATTGCGGTGATACGCTGCAGCCCTGTACTGCACAAGCCCATGTACATCTTCCTCAGCAATCTGTCCTTCCTGGAGGTGTGGTACATCTCTGTCACTGTGCCCAAGATGCTGCTCAGCCTGGCTGTGCCCCAGTTCCGGCACATCTCCTTCTCTGGTTGCATGGTGCAGCTATACTTCTTCTTGGCGCTGGCCTGCACCGAGTGTGCGCTCCTGGGCGTCATGGCCTATGACCGCTACATGGCTGTCTGCAACCCCCTGCGCTACCCGGCTGTCATGAGCCCTGGGCTCTGCAGCCTCCTGGCTGCTGGCTCCTGGCTCTCCGGCTTCACCATCTCCCTGGGGAAGGTCTTCTTCATCTCCCGCTTGGGTTACTGCGGCCCCAATGTCATGAACCACTTCTTTTGTGATGTGTCCCCATTGCTGAACCTTGCCTGCAGCGACATGTCGGTGGCAGAGCTTGTGGATTTCCTCCTTGCATTGGTCATTCTGCTTGGGCCACTGCTGGTTACCATCTTCTCCTACATGGCCATCCTAAGCGCTGTGCTGCGTATCCCTTCTGCTGATGGCCAGCAGAAGGCCTTCTCCACCTGTGCCTCTCACCTGGCAGTGGTGGTCATTTTCTACTCAGCCTCCCTCTTCATCTATGCCCGGCCACGTGCCATCTACTCCTTCAACTATAACAAGCTGGTGTCAGTGGTCTACACTGTGCTCACGCCCCTTCTCAACCCAGTCATCTACTGCCTGCGGAACCAGGAATTCAAGCAGGCATTGCACAAGGTGTTGCAGAGGGTGGCTCAGGCCCTGGGGGCCTCTTAGGCAGGCCCCTGCTGCTGACCCGACGCCTGCTTACCAGCTCCCTGGGCAGCCAGGGCCAGCCGGCCTGAGGGAGGAGTCAGCATGTCTTCCGTTCACCCCAAGTGACTGCACAGCCACTCACCCACGCTCTGGGCAGACACCCCTTTGGGAGCCCTCAACCTGACCCCCAGATGCCATGCAAGAGCTGTTCCCGTCCAGTGGCTCTTTCTAACTGACTGTGGTCAACAGAAGTCCCTCCCCACCTCAGGGAAGCAGGGCAGACACTGGCACTCTGGGTTCCAGGTATGGACATCAGCACACACAGTTCCTCTGTGCACATCCCACAGGGAACATGGCATCAGCAGAAGGCCTATCCCCGGCTCCCCACACCTTGCTGACTCAGCCCAGTGGCCTTTGCTGGGTGGTTTATCGTCTAGCCAGGCTCAGGGCCTCATCATGGTTACTGAGAGGATGGTGTGGGGAAGGGGGAGAAACCACTCAGAAACAGGGCAGGACAGAGGAGACAGGACTGGGAGTGGCCAAGGATGTTCCTAAACAAAAAGAGTTGTTTGGTCAACTGCATGTCCACACCCAGCCTCTAGGAGTCACTGGAGTAAAGGAGGTCAGGGTAAGAAACAGTGCCTGGGACCTAGGTTCACAGCTCTCTGGACCCAACTGACCAGAAGCTGGGGCTAGGGGCTCCTCCCACCAGGGATTCTAACCCAGTGCCCTGGACTTCAGCCCCTTCCTCCTGCCTACTCTCTGCCAGACCACAGCACAAGGAACCCTGGAGTGACTGGGCCACCCTCTGGTGGCCTGCAGAAGGTCCTGAGCCCATCAGTGTCCACACTAACCACAGGCCTGACTCAAGGGACTGTGACCAAAGAGCTCAGCACCTTAGTTTCCCCTGGAAGAACCTTTTGTTTGCTTCTCTGAGAACTGAGGAGAGGGAGGCCCAAGCCAACTGCAGCAGTTCTCTAGCTCCCAGCTCTTATGCAAACATGCAAGGTACTGCCACTGGCTTTCTGTAGAGTCTTTGGGTGTCATGAGAACCCATGTCACCTTCACTCCAGATCCCGACTCCAATGCAAACGGGTAAGACTCCAGGTGTATGCACTATGGTAATACCACCAGCTTTCTGCAGGGCCTTCAGGTGTCATGAGGACCCACGCCACCTTCACCCTATAGCCTATGAGACATGCAAGGCAAGATTGCAGAAGTCTAGAATGTCTGCCTGCACTTCACCCTCAGGGCCATCACAGAACACACAAGAGATGTTGATGTCTTGTTTGACAACCTCAGGAATTTGGCTCATGTGGAACCTGTCTGGAACAAGCCCCATGCTGACTGACAACTGGCCCAAAGCATGCAGACCATGGTCCCCAATCTGGAGGGACTGACAGGGCACAGACAAGTGGGGTGAAGGCACAGAGGCCAGGGCATGAGAAGCAGGGCCTTCTAAGTCATGGGAGAGTGGTTCCAGCTGCTCTGGGGGTGGTATATGTCCTGAGGGTCTTTCTGGGTGCTGTTTATCCACAGGAGAGATGCCAGCAGGGGCAGAGAGGGAGGGAGGAGCAAAGACAGGTAAATCAGGGGCTCTCACCAGGACTTCGCACTTATCAGCATTGATCTGAAGGCTGCATAACACTTGGCTGCTGAGGGACCTGTCTCTGCATCTGCATTGGGAGACCAGGCCTGCCTTGCACACCCAGGTGGAGTCAGTCTTGTCCTAAAGACTGGATGATGGAAAAGATGTGCCAGGAAAGGTGCCTTTAAATCAGAAGTCATTTGTACATCACTCTTTCAAAAGGGATGTGCTTCCTAACCAGACTTCTGTAACTGATCTTTCAAAATTGCAGTGTGGAAACTGGTGTTCTGATGCTTCATTTCATTTGTACAGCTTATGAAGCCAGCTCTGGCAAGGTGCTGCCATCCCTACAGGGACCAGGAGAATCAGGAAACTCACAGCCTGGCTTTGACCCCAGAAGCTGGGTCATGGTGCCCACCTACAGTGGGGGCTGCCAGTTTCTAGCAATGAGTGCACAGGACCCATCCTGGGTAGGGCATGGGCTCTTGAAGATGGGGAGGCATTTGGGTGTCAGTCCTAGTGAAAGTGGGGCCTGCAGGACAGCAGGTAGCCAGAAGACTGGGCACAGGCTGGCAGGGGTCTCTGATAACTCCAGGGCTGGCCTATCTGATCTCTGCCTGTAGGAGGCAGAGCCACCAAGGCACTTTGAGTAGAGCAGAGATATGGTGAGAGCTTCATTATAGAAAGACATCTCTGAGGATGGGGAGAGTGGAGTCAGGGCAAGAGGAAGGTCGAGGCTGAGTGGGGACAAGGGCTGGGGATGACTATAGGGGGCACAGGCAGAGGCAGCCCCATCAGAAACTGAGTGTCCATTGGGAGAAGGTGAAAATTAGGAACTACAGCCAATACCCTCAGGATGAAGAAAGGCCCTGAAGGTGGTGGTAGGACCATATGGAGGTGGACATGGTGATTACTAGTTTACTGATGAGAAAGGGCTTGGAGAAAGGGAGGAGCTGAAGCTGAAAGGGCAGGACTAGCACAGGAGACACTGAGAAGACAGAGGGCCTTAGCTGGGAGGGAAGAGGACATAGACCACTTCCAGTCTAGAACCTCCCTCAGGCCATACCTGGAGACTCCTCCAATTTAGTGCAGGATGGTTTCTCATCCTCAACTCCACTGACTACAGAACCCAGACCTCCAGCCACCATCCACTGTAGGTTCCACAAGCACTCAAACCCCATTGGCACTCACAGCTGCTGGCATGCCTTCTCCCACAAGCAGTAATACCCCATGATCTGGGCCCCTCTGAGAGCCTCTTTTCCCTGCCACATGTCACCACCAGGTTGAGACCCTGTTCCTCCCTTGCCTAGTCACCCCATGACCCTATCCACCATATGCCATCATCCCTTTGACTGTTTGTAGGGTGAATTCCAAATTCCTCACCAGGACCACTGTAACCCACCCCCCTTCAGCCCCCATGCTGACTCAGCCAGTCCAGCCTAGCCCATCTGCAGCTGTTGGCTCCATACACTCCACCCAAGGACCCTCTGCCTAGACCACTCCCACAAGCTTGTTTCCAAGTAGGTTTGCAAAGAGTCACATCCCCCAAAGCAACCTGGTTCCCAGAAGGAGTCAGAGCTTCCAGTACTGTGACACAGTGGGGCTGGGCCATGTGTGTTCTGTCTACCCACTGTCCAGCATGGATAGGCCTAGAAGGAGGAAAGGCCAGAGAGTGGGAAGGTGAGTGAGAAGAGTCTCTGGTGCAGAGGAAGGAAAAGGGCTCTGTGGGTGGCCAGAGGAGAGCTGGCATCAAGAAAGCAGCTCTTCAGAACAGAGGCACTTGATACATCTAATCAGTTCCTTCCTTATCCCAGGAGGCCACGAAGCCCAGCTTGACCTCAGCAGCACTCTGGAGACAGTGAGCCAGGAGCCAGGAGATCCTGACTTGGACAGCCCAGACTCAGGTGGGCCCTGACCAGTGGGACTCCAGCCACATTGGGTCCCTAGACATGATTGACACCACTTCCACCTCCAGGCAGGAGCTTGGAAGGTGCTTCTAAGTATTCTGAGCATCTCACAATCAAAGAGCTGAGGGTGCTGACAGCTGAGGTGCCCCAGCTGACCATGCCTGGTGTATACAACATTTCAGATTGAGGTGCTGGGACAAGGTTACCAGATATCTATGAGTGCCCCTAAGGGAGAAAGTGGAGTGTGCCAGAGGTGGAAGAACAGAGGCAGAAAGGAGAAAAAGTTCATACAAACCTGCATAGATGAAAGAAAATATGGATTGTGTACTCGAAACAATAGGACACATAGTCTTATGAGGGTGGAAATAAAGATTCAAGGGTGGAAAAAGAATTGAGGCAATCACTGGAAAAGCAACCCAAAAGGTGATATGAACAATGGATACTGAATATGTTTTAAGAACAGAGAATGAGCCTTGGAGATCCAATATGTAACCAGAAGAGGGCTGCAGAATGTTCAGAGGAAGCAGGAACAGTAACAGATTAACCCTTCCCTGGTGAATGACCATATTTCAATCACCTTAAGAGCAGCAAAAGTGTAGGAAAAAGTCAGGAGGGATCTGCCAGGCTGGGAAGTAGGAGAGGCTGGCACTGGAAAGGTGGCCCTGTGCACAGGCCTCCAGATCCTGCCAACCCGTGGCACTGGAACCTGCCCCACATCGATAGGGAGGCCAAAGGGCTGCACTGCAGGACTGAGCTTGAGCCTAGTGCCCACAGACCCAGGACAATTTTGGGTCCTTAAATGGAACATCAAAGTGCAGACTTTGAACTTGGAGTCACGTGATTCTAGACTTCCTTCATGTGTCTGGAAGAAAAACAAAAGTATCCCTTCTAGAGGGCGATAATGTCAGAGTGTCAACCATTCTCTCAAATAATTCTTCAAGAACACTGTTCAGTGCACAAAGGTAGTTCTGCATGTGAATAAATGAGATGATAGAATTAGATGATCCAGCTGATCAAGAGCAGGTTTGGACTTATCAGAAGCAGACCGCAAAACAGCTCTGTTTAGACCCAACAAGACAGAGCACTAGACAGAGGGATGTGGAGGCTGTAGCACAGCGGGACCTGACTGGTATCAGCAGAGTTCCGTGCAACAGCGGGATAAGTGCACACCTTTCATGGTGTACCTGAAACACTAAACGACAGACTTATCCTAGGCCATAAAAAACCCCCAGTTTAAAGTGATTAAAAGTAACACATGCATGCTTTCTGACCACTATAAAATGACAAGTAAAAATCAATGAAAGAGAAGGGTTTCTGGAAAATGTCTAAATATTCGGAAACACACTTCTAAATAACCCATTAATCAAAGAAGAAATGAAAAGAGAAACTAGAAAATGTTTTGAAATTAAAATAAAAAAATGCTTCAAAAAGCATAGGATACCACTTAAGCAGTACATAGATGGAGACTGATAGCACTGTAGACCTACCTTAGAGAAGCAAAAAGACCTTAAGTCAATTTCTTCAGC